AACGCAGAGGCTTCAGTGTGCTTGAATCCTTGTCACTGGAAGGTTCATCTGTCAATATCAGGTAAGAGATAAATTACGTAACTATAGAGCAAAAAATGATTTCTGTCTGGCCTGAGGTATTTAATAGCTTACCCATTTAGTAATTTTGAGAGGAAAGAGAGAGAGTGAGTAACTTTCCTCTATATTTGTATGTATATTATGACTGCTTTTGAAATCCTATTGGTACAAAACTGCTGCACCTGCCCACTAAATACTTCATAGTGTTTATTTGCATTTACAAAGAAAGTAATTATTTTTTCAGATGCAAATTCTCCCTATAATAGACCTCTGAGAGTAAAATTGTAGGAAAAATGAGTTTCAGAATTATACTGGTTTTTCTTATATCATTCTTTGTTATAACTAGAAATAGTCATTATAAAATCTAAAATTCTTATAATTCAGTAGGTTATTCGATTGCTGGGAGTCATATTAGCCTAATTTCCTTCTGATCTGTTTGTTTTCATGGAAAAACTCCTATGTTCCTCTCTGCTTGGAGACATAACATTCTAGTGTCCAAACTGATTGGCAATAGTCCCAAATGGTCTTTGCTTTATTTAAATTATGTGACTTTTTATTTCATCTATGCCATCATTGACTCAAAAATTGTGTTTGGATGAAGGACAAACATCATACTTATGAATTAGATTTTCTCTATTATTTCTCAAATATTAGAAGAGTTCTCCTTTCTCTCCTCTTGTCTTGGCAAACATAACCTTTTCCTTCCACAGATCAGCACTAGCAATGGTCCCCATTTCCTTTTCTGGTTTTTTTAAAAACAGTTGTTCTCAGGATTTGGTTAAAGTGGCATTCTTCAAGGCAAAGAGGCACTAGATTGAGAGATGTCTTTCTTTTCAGAAGAATTCATTGCAACTGGGAACCTCTATACATTCATGATCCTTCTCTAATCTGTAACTGAATGTGCTTATGAAGGGATAGGATTTTGTTGGATTTAATACAAGTTGAATTTCTAATATAACACTGCTCAAAGTGTGTTGTCCAGTCACTCCCCATACCGAACAATTCACATGCCAAGTTCATTTATTACATGAGAAATGAGGTTCCTCATGACAAGAGTCCCTGTAAGGAATCTTTACCTTTTGTATTTCTACCCCCACCTCTGTCATTTACCCCAATTTCCAAATATCCCACATAATACTGAGAGGAAAGACATTGAATTTTTGTTGGTTGCCGTGTAGGAGACATCCAACTTCAAGAGGTCAATAGAGAAAGGAGTATTGTAGATGAGAATAGGTAGGTAGTCTCCTCCTCAATCTCAACCTTTGTTTACCACCAATGCCATTATCTGAAGCTTCTTTGAACTAAGGTGAGTTGCTAAATGTGACAAATGTTAGGCTGCATGTTCAATGCCCCTTTCAGATTTTGTGAGAACAGCCAATAGGAAATTTTCACTGAAGCATGAATTCCTCTTAAGTCTTCCAGAAGCTGGTTCCTCTCTTCCTTTGTCTAGGCCCCTCACTCACTGGGGAGAACTTTCCCAGAAAACTGTGGTCCTCTGGGCTCCTGTTCTTGGCCCAATCCTCAGTGTGTGAAGCTCTGCAATGGTGACTGCTACTAATATTATGCACTGAGTATTCTCTCATTAAAGAGAACTGTTCAGAAACAAAGATCTCCCTCACTTCCCTTCCTTCTTGAACACAGAACAGTATTTGGAGCCAGAAAGAATGGAACTGAAGTTCAAAGAATGGATCGAAGCCAGTGCATATTCTACATAAAATTAATCGTTGAGAGCAAAAAAATTGGTCCTAAAGGGAACATCTTCCAAACAGAGAAACTTTTAAAGAAACAGTTAAGTGTGATTTTTTTTTAATTTCCTGCATCTTTTCAGTAATAGAGACCTGAGCTCTGTTAAGCCTGTAAAGTTATTCTTCCATTCCAGTAAAATCTTTGTCTGATAAAGATAAGTCAAGGATCCTTGTGACTGAACCACATTCTAATTTCAATGGCAGTTTAAACCAATTTGTTGTCTTACTCCACCATAAACTGCAGAACAGAATCTGGGACAATATTGTGGAGATTAGTAGAAACCCTCAAAGGAGGAAGATGTGTGACCTTGAGCAAGAAATTTAACCTCTTGAGGCGTCAGTTTCCACATCCATATAATGAGAGGTTTTGACAGTTTCACTCTAAGGTTCCTTTCAATTCTAGATACAAGATCCTTGATTCCCGTGATGCTGTCTAGCTTGTGAACCTCTTAAGCACTAGAAAGAACAAGTCTGATTCAGCTTACTCAAGATCAGAAAGAATGTTGTGTTTACAAGGCAGAAGAACACTGTCTTTGGGCCACACCCAGGGAGGAAAGTACAGGAGAAGAATGGTAGTTATTCCCAATCACATTATCCCCTGTTTTTTCCTAATTGTTTTTCCCATATGAAAGTGCTCCAAGGTAGGCATAGGCTTGCTATCATTACCTGAACCACGAAGCATACCTTGAGAATAAGACTGTGATAAGGACAAGATGCAAGATCAAAGACTAATCAGTGACCACCAGAAGGGGTAGAAAACTCCTAGCTATCTCCACCAAACTGACCATTCTTCTGAGAATTCTAGAGAGCTTTTGGTGGAAAAGAAAGGAAATTTCCTTTTCCTTCACCTAGTCACTCAAAACGAATGCTACCCTGAGAACAATGGGCTTTAGATGCATCTCCTATTGTAGATAAGGTTAGACTAGCCTCACAGCAATTCCAGCAAATGTTGGATGCCGGCCAGTGCTGCAAAAGCCCTTAGCCCCTGGAGATGAAGGCCCCTCAGAGTCTTTTTTTTAAATTTTAAATCAAGCAAGAGGTGACAATCCCCCCTACTCTGGTAGATTTCTCCAATTATAATTACTTACAACTCAGAAATGCCATTGTTTTTTCTGTGATAAACATTAACTACGGTTTTGCTTAAGGAAACACTGGGGCAAATAAGGGAGAGTTCACCCAGTACATGGGTAAGGACATTGTTATTCCGATAACCAGGAAGATTTTTAAAAAAAATTAATTCCATGGTAAATCTTTCTTAGGGAATGTCATACTCAGAACTGGAGCTACTCAAATCACCATGATTTGAACTCTATTTCAAATGACAGAGGACATTAAAGTAGATAGACTGGACCTAGCCTCAAGAGGTTTTCATTCAAATCCTAATTTGGGCATTTAATAATCATAAGAAAGTCACTTAACTTTTCCCAACAGGCTTCTTTAGCTGTAAAAGTGAGAAAATATCTGCACTATCCACCTCTTTGGATTATTACAAAGAAGTGATTTTGCCTCCCCCAAAATACTATACCAATAAGAATTCTTATTATTGGATATTATTATATACATAGCATTATTGTATAATATTATATATTATATAGAGATAGATATTATTGTCATTATTACTATTATTACTATTATTATACTTTGTAAATGACCAAGAATTTGACCTGGTTTCAGTTAAAGGTGCTTTGGAATTGGGAGTCATACATTCCCATGGCAAGGCATGTAGCTTCTGCTGTGTTTTTAAGGATAGGACCTGGTCACCCCTTGTCTTCCTAAATGACTCAAAAATGAATGGGAACCACCTTTTAGCATATGGAAAATGAGGAAAGATGGGATTACTTCACTGAAGCACAAGACCTTAGGTAGAAGCACACAAATCACTTTATGACCAGGGCTAGAAGGAGCCGTAAAGGTCACAGTCCACCTCATTTTACAAATGAAGAAACTGAGAATGTGTGACATGCCTGAAATTCATTCCAGCTAGATCTCTAGTTTATTGACTGACTGACTGGTCCCACTCTTCTCTGCCCTAGTTAGGCCACATCTGGGGTATGACATTTAGGAAAGATAATGACAAGCTGAGGTATGGTCAGAATGTTGATGAGGATCAGCTGAAGACTTTGGGTCATCATGGTAGTCATGAAGTATTGGAATGGTTGTCATGTGGAAAAGAGAATAAATTTGCTCTATTTGGCAGTAGAGGGCATTATTTGGAAAAATAGAAGTTGTAGAGACCAATACAGAGTCTATGTATGAAAAAACTTCCTAACAATTACAGGTATTCAAAAGGAAGGAAGGAAATTTATTAAATATACTGTGATAAAGTAAATATTACCTCATTTGATCCTCACAACAACCCTGGGAGGTAGGTACTATTATTCTTTCCTATTATAGGGCTGAGGAAACTGAGCTAAACAGAGGTTAAATGACTTACCCAGTGTCACACAGCTATTAAGTGTCTGAGACTGAATTTGCATCCAGGTCTTCTTGACTCTAGGCCCAGTGCTATACACATACTGAGCTGCTTCTTAAAAAAAAAAAGGTGCTCAAAAGTAGCTTTTACTATCTTATGAAGTATGGAGTTCCCTTTTACAGGAGGTCCTTGGATTGGATAGACATTTCTTGAGGATAGTGTATGTAGATAGGATTTTCAGTCAAATATAGGTTAGGCTAGGTGGTGTGTGAACTCCTTTCTAGTTCTGAGATTCTGTGAGTGCATTCATTCTAAGGGAAAAGAAGAAACAAGCAGCATATTCAGGTTTAATAGTAAACCAGTACAGACTAGGAGGCAGAAAAATTAGGTCACTCCTGCCTGGGCAACAGGATTACCCAGTTTCTGACTTGGGTTGAACAGCATCAAATAATGCCTTAGAAAACCATTTTTGGATTCTCCCATTCCCAGCCTTGTCTGGGTTATCTGTGTGAAGTTTCTTAGTAAGTTTACATCAGTGAAAGAATGACATAACTTCACAGTAAGAGAAGGGTAGAAGTGAAGGAAGGAGGCTCTTTGTTTTGAAGGCTTCGACTTCTACACCTGGATTTTAGCTGTTCTTTAAAGATGACCCAGCTCCATCTAGTTTTAGTGTACTCTCTATGAGGGAAGAAAGTGAGGGGGATAGAGATAGGTAAGTACCTAGATTTGTATTCTTTCACCATAACAATCTCTCCATTGTTCAACAGGTGAGAAAACTGATGGCTATGGGCAAGAATCAGAGTGGTGCTGTGACTGAGTTCATTCTGGCAGGCTTCCCCACTCTTCACAGCATGCAAACTGAGCTCTGTTCGATATTCCTGCTAGTGTACCTGCTGACCCTAATGGGCAACATGGTGATTATAAGTGTGGTAGGAGTTGATCCTCGCTTGCAGACTCCTATGTACTTTTTCCTGGGGAACCTGTCATGCCTGGAGATCTTGATTACTTCTGTGATTATTCCTAAGATGCTGACTAACTTCTTTTCAGGTCAGCATACCATCTCTTTCACTGCTTGCATTACTCAATTCTATTTCTACTTCTGCCTTGGAGCTTCTGAGTTCCTGCTACTGGCTATCATGTCTGTGGATCGTTACCTGGCTGTCTGTCATCCCTTGAGATATCCCATACTGATGCGTGGGGCCATATGCTTACGATTGACTCTGGTCTGCTGGGCAGGAGGCCTTCTCCCTGTGCTTGGTCCTACAGTGGTTGTAGCCTTGCTTCCTTTTTGTGGCCAGGATCTGGTGATCCAACACTTCTTTTGCGACAGTGGCCCCTTGCTTCGCCTGGCATGCACCAACACCAAACAACTGGAAGAGGCTGATTTTGCTCTGGCCTCAGTGGTCATCATAGTCTCCCTTTTGCTTACTGCCACTTCCTATGGTCACATTGTTTTGGCTGTCCTTCGAATACCCTCAGCCTCAGGCCGACAGAAGGCCTTCTCTACCTGTACCTCCCACTTGATGGTAGTCACACTCTTCTATGGAAGTGCCATCTTCCTCTATGTCCGACCATCACAAAGTGGTTCTGTTAGCACAAACTGGGCAGTGACAATAGTGACTACTTTTGTGACACCACTAATGAACCCTGTCATTTACACCCTTCGAAATGAACGAGTGAAGGTAGCCTTAAGGGATATGCTTAAGAAGGGGCTAACAGCTTGTTCTGGGCATCTCTGATATTATTAGAGCTAGATTAGGAAAAAGAATGAAATGAAGGGGGAAGGGTCAGAGGAAAGAGTAGATCTAATTTATCTCTGCATTCTGCCTGTAGTTTTGGTACTGCATGAGAGTCAGTCTTGTCTCCATATCTGATAGATCTTCACTCTTGGAAAAACTTTCTCACTACCATTTTCATTCTACTAACATTTGCAACAGCAAACTGCAGAATTCTAGAGCTAGCAAAGACTTCAAAAGATCATCCAGTCCTTATTTCTTTTTATTTCTTTTCTCAAGGAAGGTTTCACAAGCCAAAACAAGTAATCATTGTCACTACCAATTACAAATATCAACTGAATTTTCCAACAGCCTTTGGGGACTCTTTCTGATTAAATAAACTTCCATAAAGTCAACAAGTTAGCCACAGATATGAAGGATTACAAATCCGCTTACCTAATGTGCACAGGAAGAAGTGCCAGTAGATTAGGTATGCATAGACTATGCCCTGAGTCTTTTTAAATCTGGTTGCTACGGCTAAATATTTGCCATCAGATGGAAAAGAAGTAAAGAAAATTGAACTGAGGGACTGCTTTCCAACTCTACAGAAATGCCAATAATCATGGAAGGTTGAGATCCCTGAAGGGCTCAAGGGGAAAAGCCTTTGATCAACTCTTCTGCTTCCCATATTTCATCTTCATCTCACCTCAGGTAAAAGTTTGGTGGAAGACTATTTTATTTCTTCTCACTGGGATACATTTCCTTTAATTGTATCACTTTCCCCCTCTGTCCTTTCTTGAATTCATATTTACTTTTACTGAAGTTGGGGTGGGGATGAACTTATTCTGACGAATACTGACAATTTTTTTAAATGATTGTAAATACAGTACAGTAATTACTGGCCAATTGAATATGATAAATAATAGTAGCTCCTATAGTTCCTTCTAAAAAATGTGTTCTGTAATTTTGCAACTATCTATACCTCATAGGATGCTGGGGAACAGATGAGCTCATGCCTTATAATGTACTCGGAGGCCGGTATAAAAGAAAGATAACAAATAAGGTGATGTTCATCAATGAGAAACTAATATCAGATAGTGATGGAGAAATAAGTGTACCGAAACGTTCTGGATAAAGGACAATTAAATTCAGGAGCTCGGTGAGTAAATTGATTTCAAGATGATCCAAAAAATAGGCACATTGAAAAGCTTTAACACCACTGGGAAACAGTGGCTGATAGAAACAGTCTCCAATTTCCAACTGCCTATCTAACATATCAAAGTGGATGTCCAGTAGAAATCTTAAGCTCAACATGACCAAAACTGGACATATTATCTTTCCCCCCACCAATGCCCACCCCTTTCCAAAAATTTCTATTATTGGGGAGCACCATCAGCCTCCTAGTCCCTCAGACCCACAACCTAAATGTCATCCTACACTCCTCACTATCCTTCAACTCCTTTATCCAATTTGTTGCCAAGGCCTTTTGATTTTATCTTTACGTCATCTCTGAAATATGGCCCATTATAACTTCTGATACTGTTACCACTCTGGTGCAGGACCTCATCACCTCACATTTGGACTATTTAATAGCCTGCTGGTTGGTCTGCCTGCCATATATCTCTCCACAATCCAATCCATCCTCCGTTCAGCTGTGAAAGTGATTTTCCTTACTTGTAGATCCTACCATGTCATCCTCCTTCCTGTTTAATAAACTACAGTGGCTCCCTAGCACCTCCAGGATCAAAAACAAAAGCCTCTCTTTGGTGTTCAAAACCCATCATAACCTATCTTTCCCCTGCCATTCCAGTCTTCTTGCACCTCTTCCCTATATACTCTTTGATCCAGTAGCCTGGCCTACTTTCTGTTCCCTGGACCAGTCACTCACTCTCCTAGGCCTGGAATGCCTTCCCTCCTCATCTCTGTCTCCTGGATTTCCTGGAATTCTTCAAGTCCCAGCTAAAAACCTGTCTACAAGAAGTCTTTCCCAAACCATTTTAACTTTAGTGTCTTCTCTTTATTTATTATGTCCCCTTTATCCTGTTTATAGCTTGTTTGCACATGATAGGAATTTTTAATTTCCTTTCTAGTAGCTTTAGGAAAGCTGCCCCCCCTTTTTTTTAAAGAAGAATCAAATAAATAACTGAGACTTTCCTTATAGTGTAGAATTTAGCTGCACTTCCAGTAGTTTAATGCAGATAATTAACTGGTTGGGGTAAAAGAATCCTTAACTCCCCTTTGTGATAATGATTACCTAGCTAGTTGTAATTTCCAGAGTAACTCCTCTCAGTGTTTGTTGATCAATTTACAACTTGACCTCTTATAATTTTTCCCCTTATGCTATCTTTTCCATGTAGACCATGCTCTCCCCTAGAAATTTTATGTTTATCTTTGAAATATAAATCTTTTCCTTTCCCTTTTGGCAGCCATAAAATCCAATTGTACCTTTTTTTTTTCCCTGACAAAATTAGCCTCTATATAAGTCATATGAAAACTCTGTTTGGCAATCAATGGTCATTTTTAGATACCATGAGACTATGCTGAGCATAAAATAAACTGGCTAATGAAATGTTTCTGCATGTTGATAAATATGATCGGCAGTAGTACCTATCAATGAATCCTTGGATATTTCCAAATCACACATATTTATTTGCATGCTATCTCCCCCATTTGATTTTTTTTTGGCTAGGCAATGGGGTTAAGTGAGTTGCCTAGGGTCACACAACTAGTCAGTGTTACCCATCTGATGCTGGATTTGACTCCGGGACCAGTACTTTATCCACTGAGCCACCTAGCTGCACCTCCCCTATTTGATTGTGAGCTCCTTGGGGATAGTAACTGTCTTTTGCCTTTCTTTTTATTAGCAGCACTTAGCACAGTGCCTAACACATTGTAGATGCTTAATAAATGCTTATTGCCTTATTGTCATATCTCTAAGATTTCAATATGTGGTAAGAATGCTGTTTTTTTTTCCTTTCCTGTTACACTGCTACCTCCATTCTTATCACATATACTCCCAATGCTTTCTATCTAAAGAAACCTTGCAAAGGAATGGAGAAAGAAGCAATGAGGAGGGGCAGGTTATGTTAGGAGATCTAGATTTTCAGAGATTTGCTGAGGTCAACGAACACACCCTTACTTGACTCAGAAATTCCTAGGGAGTGGGAGAAATCCAGAAGAATGGATTTTTCCCAACTGCCAGTGACCCAATAGTGACATAAAACTGAATCTTGTCATTTATATGAGTGGAGAGGTTAACAAATAAACCAAAATGTTTTTGGACAGAGTGAAATGCTTTGATCTCCTTGGTAAAAACACTTCCTCCAAAGATGTAAATTGTAACACATCTTGTCATCCTTTGCAAATCTTGTCCATATTGTCCCACATATCCTCCAGAGGTTTGGGGGTGGGGGTGGAGTCTTCCTCTGGATCTCATGACATTATATGGATCTCAGTGGAGTAGAAGAGCTAACCAGTGATTATCCCTCATTTTTCACAAGACCAGGTCTTATCACATTTCCTGGTAGCATCCTTCACAATATTCCTTTTACACTATTTTTACTAGTAATATGTATCAGTCAGTTTGTGCCAACTACTTGTGCATATGTCCATTACCTTTGGCTGACCCTCTTCTTAGAGTGATATTTCATGACTTACAGTCTCACAGCATCACTAGAAGAATTTTTTAAAGATAGCTTTTATTTGAAGGTGGAAGTTTGAGGTCATTAAAAGTACTACACAGGCAAGAATTAGGCTTAGATATCATACCATAAATATCAGTTCATATACTTTTCATAGCTATGGATAGGAGTTGCATTCTTAAGCAAACAAGAGATAGACAACAGAACGAAACAAGCATTTATTAAGCATCTACTATGCACCAGGTACTGTGCTTAGAGGTGCTATTATTATCCTCATTTTACAGGTGAAGCGACTGAGGCAGATAGCAGTTAAGGTGACTTGGCCAGGGTCACATAGTTCCTAAGTATATGAGGCAGGATTTGAGCTCTGCTGTTATTAACTCTAGGCCTAGCACAATATCTATTATGCCATCTAGCTACCTAGAGGCAATTACAAAAGATAATCTAGATAACTTTGATTACATGAAACCAAAAAGCTTCTAAACAAACAAAATTAACATATCTAGGATAAGAAGTGAAGTGGTCAACTGAAGAAAATACATTTATGCTAAATTTCTTGGATAAGGTTCTAGAAATATAGATAAGTAATGGAAATAATGTATAAAAGCCATTCCCCAATATATAAGTAGTCAAAGGAAATGAACAAAGAATTCTAAAAAAAAATTACAAAATATTAACATGAAAAAAATCCTCCAAATTACCATTAACAAAAGAAATGCAAATCAAAACAACCTTGTGGTATGACCTTATACCCAGAAAATTGGCAAAGATAAAAAGAGTTGGGAAGTTAGTTTTGGAGGAGTTGTTGGAAGATATGCACACTACTACACTGTTGGTGAAGTTGTGAATCTGTACCAGTGTTTTGGGAAACAATTTGGAAGTATGCAAATAAAATTACTAAAATGTTCATGTCTTTGACTCAAATTCCACTACTAGGCTTATGCCTCAATAATATCACTGGTGAAAAGAAATCACACATATACACCAAGGTCTTTATAGCAGCACTTTTTGTTATAGCAAAACTTTGGATACAAAGATGTCAGGTAACAAGAATTTAATTAAGCACCTTCTACGTGCCAGATACTGTGCTAAGTGCTGACATTAGATGCCATCAATTGGGAAATGGGTAAACAAATTGTTGTACATGACTACAAGGGGATGTTACTGGGCTTTAGAAAGGAAGACTATGATGAATACATAGAAATCTGGAAAGATTTCATATAATCTGATTCAGAGCGAGGTAAGCAGAGCCAAGAAAGTAATATACACAATGACTTTAATAATGTTAATGGAAAGAGTAATTGCCAAGCCATCAAAAGTGAATGTTGCAAAATTATAAAGTATAACAAGAGCCCCAGAAAGGTATGGGAAGGCATTTCTATCCCACTCCTTTGTTGAGGTGGGAGGTCCACAAATGTAGCACATTGCATATACTTTCAGGGGTTTTTTTTCAATGTATTTATACCTTGCTAATTTTTTCTCTTCTTTCCTCTTCTTTTCCTTTTAAATAGTTTTTGTTATATGGAATGGCTCTCTAGGAGAGGGATGAAAAAGGATACTGAGAGAAATTCTGGTGATGTAAAAAAATCAAAAGAAGGATTTTTTTTTAAAGAGAAAAGTACTAGACAATTTCATACAGGTAGTTTAGTCAATTCTCCTATTCAATCTGGGCCCAGGTAATTCTCCATTTCCAAGGTTTGTCCAAGATGTGGACTTACCAACCAACTCTAAGGTCAGTCTGTCTATTTACTTGGACATCACAGTATGGATAATAGACATTTTTCATCTACTTGGTTTTTCTCTTGTTAAGTCAAGTCAAATCAACATTTATCATGTGCATGCTGCATACCAAGTAGTCTGCCACACCTTGGAGACAAGTCCAAGACCTTAGCATCTTACCTTTTAGTAGTTTTCTAAATATACTCACTAAGTATGCCTTCCTTTTTTCAGGTTCTTCCAGTAAGAAGCCATCTTTCTTCTCCATGGTCTTCAAGTGCTTTTTAGTGTTCAGTATCCAGGAAATAGTCTAAATAGTGTCAAGGAGGCATCCTGAGCTCACTCGCTACCATGGTAGAGGTAGAATTGGGGTCAGAATTTTAAAGAGACTTGGGGAATCTGGGGGTTCTCTAACCTTTGTATCTTTCTCAGCTTTTACCAGAGTGCTATGTACACAGCAGGTCATCAACCAATGTTTGTTCATTTTAATTGAATTCAAGTCAATCCCAGGGTCAATGATGATCATGTTCTAAAAAATAAAAAAGTGAGCCAGGACTTAAAGTAAAGCATGTGCAGAAATGCTCTGGCTCTTTTCTATCAACTATGTGTGTTACCTAGGTTCTTAGAACCATCTGCGCAGGAGAAATAAGCCCTTCATTGGCCACTGAACAGGAAGAGCTCATGACTCAGAGGACCTTTAAAAAAGGAGTGGTTCTTCATCTGGTTATCTGCACTGTTTATTTTGCTGCTTGAAACCTAAGTGACAGTATGCCACTATCATTATGGGGTTTTGTCTAAACCTTTACTCCACTGCAGGTGCAGAAATATACAGATACATTTTTGGAGAATTGACATTTTGCAAAATGCAGCAAACATTTTAATTTATATACAAGAAAGGGAAGTGTTCAAAAGGGTATGCATTTCAAGTTATTGCAGGTTATTTCTGTGAGAGATTTCTGCAGGTAAAATATATTTAAATTTACTGGTTATCTTTTTTTGATCCTCCAATGGCACTGGAGCTTTCCGGGTAAGGGAAGGACAACTTACCTTTTTCTCTACCTTGGCTACCAAACAACCAGGAGGACACAGCAGTTAAACCATATGTCCTCCAAGGGTAAGCCTGAGGACTTCAAAATCTTGCTGCCTTTTTTATTTTGTGTTTTTTCTTTCCTGGATTTAGGTGACTAAACATCAGCCTCAAGATAAAATCCAATCTTGAAGTGACCTTGAGAATAGCAGAGGATGAGAGATCCTAGTTAGCTTAGTTGGAGCTGCATGGGGAGGTTCTGAATTGGAAAAGATGATTACCAACAAGAAGAGAAGCCAAAACCCTGGCCTGCCTAATCAGAAGATGTAGATTTTGAGGATTCAGAGCAGCACTAAGATAAAATATAAGAATACTTCTTCCTTAGTCCCTCAGACTGCTGGTCTGGTCCAGTGATCTTTAAGTCTCAACTTCCCAGAACAGCAAAAGAGTAATTGTATTAAGATACTGAAAGCCATTCTGAGTCTGTCAATGTTTACTTGTTTTTTTTAAATTTAATTTATTGTATTTTGAACTTAAAAAATAAAACAAGCATTTCCATAAAATATTAAAATAAAAAAGATGATTATGCATGAAACTACAAATCCATTATGTACAGCTTGCTATTCCTTTTAAATATATGATAAAGTTACCATGTAACTTTCTTTTCCCCCTCCTTTTTTCTCCCCTTTCCCCACACCCTAGAGATAGCCACCATTACACACAAATATGTGTAGATATATACATAAAACCATTCTATGCATACTTCTATTTATCAGTTCTTTCTCTGGATGCAGATAGTGTCTTCCTTCGTATGTCCTTTGTAGTTAATTTGGATATTTATAATAGCCAAAACGACTTAGTCACTTAAAGTTGTTCTTAAACAATATCACTGTTATTGTATACAATGTTTTCTTGGTTCTGCTCATTTTGCTCTTCATTATTTTATGCAAATGTATCTGTTTTTCTAAAATTATCGAGCTCATTTCTTTTTTATATAGAGTTCTTAAAGATTTATTTTTTGTTTGTTTTTGTATTTAAAAAATTTATTTTGATTTATCAACAATCACTTCCGTATGCTTTTGAGTTTAAAAGTTTTCTCCCCCTTCCTCCCTACCACCCTCCCCAAGATGGCACACAATCTGATATAGGCGATGCATATACATTCCTATTAAACATATTTTCACATTAGTGATGTTGTAAGGAAGAATTAGAGTCAATAGGAGGAACAACCAGAAAGAGGAAACAAAACTCAACAGAAGAGAAAAAAACAGCAAATAGTATGCTTCAATCTGCTTTCAAATTCCATAGTTCTTTCCTCTTTGTGGATTGTATTTTCCATCATGAGGCCTTTGGAGATGTCTTAGATCCTTGTATTGCTGAGAAGGGTTAAGTTTATCAATGTTAGTCATCGCAGAACATGGATGTTATTGTGTACAAAGTTCTCCTGTTCTGTTCACTTCACTCAGCATCAGACCATACAAGTCTTTCCAGGTTTTTGTGAAGTCAGCCTGTTCATCATTTCTTATAGCACAATAGTATTCCATTATATTCACATATTACAACTTGCTCAGCCATTCCCCAATTGATTGGCATCCTCTCAATTTCCAATCCTTTGCCACCACAAAAAGAGCTGCTATGAATATTTTTGAACATGTGGGTCCTTTTCCCATTTGTATGATCTCTTTGGCATATAGCCCTAGAAGTTCTATTGCTGGGTCAAATGGTAGGCACATTTTTATAGCCCTTTGGGCATAGTTCCAAATTGCTCTCCAAAATGGATCATTTCACAACTCCACCACCAACGCATTAGTGTTCCAATTTTCCCACATCTTCTCCAACATTTACCATTTTCTTGTTTTGTCATCTTGGCCAATCTGATAGGTGTGATGTGGTTGGTACTTCAGAGTTGTTTTGATTTGCATTTCTCTAATCAATAGTGATTTAGAGCATTTTTTCATATGACTATAGATGGCTTTAATTTCTTTATCTGAGAACTGTCTGTTCATATCCTTTGACCATTTATCAATTGGGGAATGACTTGTATTCTTATAAATTCAACTTAATTCTCTATATACTTTAGATATAGCTCATCATTTCTTATAGCACAGTCACATTCTATCACTATCATATACCACAACTTGTCCAGCCATTTCCCAATTGATGGGCATCTCTCCAATTTGCCATCACAAAGAGAGCTGTTATAATTATTTAAGAACTTATAGCTTCTTTTCCTTTTTCTCTAATCATCTTGGGAATGTCCACATGTACTAGTATTTCATGTTAAAGATTTCTTTCATGTGTAGGAAAAAATAACTACCCTATACCTGATTCATATTGTCCATTGAATACCTTTCTGGCCATTATTTTTGAAATATCCTAGACACGAGGCAAAACCTTAAGAAAAAATTTCCCAGGATACCAAGATGAGGCTCATAAGGAGGCAGAGTGTAAGTAAAGGAATATGACTCCTTTTATGGGTAGTCAGCCTCACTCAGGACTGAGATTTATCTAGACGAAGTGTATGGTTGCAGAGAAGAGGAACTTCTTGGTGGGGAGAGTGATAGAAGTGCCTCAGTTCTCTGGGTCCAACAGCAGTTTCTATTTTTAGATGAGTTATTAATTGAAAGAACTAGATGTGTTCAGCCTGCAGTCTTGGGGGTGGGGATGTAATTGTCATAAATTATTTGAAGGACTCTCGTTTGAAAAAGAGATTAGATGCCCTGCTTGGACCCAGAGGACACCACTAGGATAAATAACAGCTCACATTTATATAGAGCTTTAAGGCTTATGCACACTTTACTTCATTCATATGTCCTTTGTAGTTAATTTGGATATTTATAATAGCCAAAATGACTTATTCACTTAAAGTTGTTCTTAAACAATATCACTGTTATTGTATACAATGTTGTCTTATTTGATCCCAACAACAAGCCTGAGAAGTAGGTGTTATTACCCCCACTTTATAGATAACTATACAGTGTCAGAGAGGATAGGTGCCTTGCCCAGAATCATGTAACTCAAAAATGTTTGAGGTCAAATTCCAACTCAAATCTTCCTGACTACAGATTCATCCCTCACTCTCTTCCTCTTCCTCTTCTCTGTTCTACTTCAGGGAATCATTTTAGGTCCTTACCAACAATAAAAGCAATCCAAGAATGAAGTGTATACTTTCCCAATTGTAAAAGTTTTCCCCTTCATTGGCTCAAAACTAAGGAGTTAGAGAAAATGTGAGAATGAATGAAGCTCTTAATTTTTTTTCAAGTAGAGCCAGGCCTATTTAGTATTCTTCTTTGAGATTTTTTTTTTGACTCATCAAATGAAAATTCTTGCGGCAAATGGTCTGGCTTTTTCTATGGTCATGTATTCCTGATGAGTCCAAGACCCAGTCCAACTCTGCCTCTGCTCAAAGAAGAATCCTGGATCTCTAAACCAAAATCAATTAGAGAAGACTCATTGCTATGTAGTGGGAGGATACTGTCTCACCCCAATTGCAGTGGCCATGCCCCATTTGGATTTAGCAGGCAGCTACCTATGAGGATTCTGAAACTTAACAAACTCCAAATTAAATGGACATTTCCATGAACACAAAAGGACAGAAAAAGAGGATTGTACATGAAAATGCAGAGCTATTTTTTTTTTCAGGCAATTGGGGTTAAGTGACTTGCCAAAAGTCACACAGCTAGTGTCAAGTATTTGGTTTGAGGCCAGATTTGAACTCAGGTCTTCCTAACTTCAGGGCTGGTGCTCTATCCACTGTGCCACCTACCTGTCCCAATGTGCATACCCTTTGACCCAGCAATAGCACTACTAGGGCTATATATTCCTAGAGAGATCATACAAATGGGAAAAGGACCCACATGTACAGAAAATATTTATAGCAGCTCTTTTTGTGGTGGCAACAAATTGGAAATTGAGAGAATGCCCATCAATTGGGGAATGGCTGAGCAAGTTATGGTATATTAATGTAATGGAATACTATTGTGCTATAAGAAATGATGAACAGGCTGACTTCACAAAAACCTGGAAAGACTTTCGTGGTCTGATGCTTAGTGAAGTGAGCAGAACAGGAGAACTTTGTACACAATAACATCCACGTTCTGCAATGACTAATATTTGATAAACTTAACCCTTCTCAGTAATACAAGGATCTAAGGCATCATCAAAGGCCTCATGATGGAAAATACTATCTACAAAGAAGAAAGAACTATGGAGTTTGAATGCAGATCGAAGCATACTATTTGCTATTTTTTTCTTCTGTTGAGTTTTGTTTCCTCTTTCTGGTGGTTCCTCCTATTGGTTCTAATTCTTATTTACAACATCACTAATGTGAAAATATGTTTAATAGGAATGTGTATGTATAGCCTATATCAGAATGTATGCCATCTAGGGAAGGGAGGTGGGAAAGGAGGGGGACAAAATTTTAAACTCAAAAGGTTATGGAAGTGATTGTTGATAATTAAAAATAAATTAATAAAAAATTTCAAAAAAAAAATGTGTATCATGGTCTGTTTCAGGGAAGGCTATATAAGTTGCTTAGGAAAGTTTGTACTCACTCAGTCACCAGTCAAGATGGTTCAGCCCCAAGGATGGAGAGTCAAATCTGATTGGATAAAGTCCCCAAAGCCAATGCAATGCAGCTATGATGGGAAGGGGATTGCTTATTCAGCATCTCCAAAGTATGTTTGCCTTCCTTTGGGGAGTCAAACCCATAGAGTGACATTGGATCTGAGAGAGACTATGTAGGGCTAGGAGTCCACCAGAATGTCAGAGATCAATTCATTTCTGAGAGAACGTAAGGGGTTATTTGTGACATATTTTTCTGTATAAGTTTGTGGACTCCTATGAATATTGTGCATCTTCTATATTTTTCGTGGAGTGAAATAAAAGTTGTCCTGATCATATGTATTGCTCCTTGAAGTAGGGAATCTGGGAGCCTGTTACCCACATTTGTGGGAAACATAGATATAAGCTAAATATAAGCCCTATTTGGAGATTTTTTTTTGGAGCAATTTTAGGTGGAAGCAATGAGTCAAAGAGAAAAAAAGGAACCTACTTTGGGCTAACCATCAGGATTTGATGTCCTTAGGGTGAGCTCAAGTTCTTGAGGGACACTGGGCCACAAATTCCAGTAATATCATCCAAGCAGCCAGATGAGTAGTTAAGAAGTATTTAAGAATTGTTTTGGTTTTCATTATTCAGAGAGCTGCTTAGAGAAAGAAGGATTAAAAATGACTTTTATTTTCCCTACCCAATATACTTTGGATATGTGTCCATTCCAGCATTCTCTCTCTCTCTCTCTCTCTCTCTCTCTCTCTCTCTCTCTCTCTCTGTGTGTGTGTGTGTGTGTGTGTGTGTGTGTGTGTCTTGAACCATGGAGCCAAAAGAGAACTGAGATTCAGTTTAACTTCTGCTAGGGCTGGCATTCAATAAGAACTGAGTCAGTAGAGCTGTCTTTATTCTTAATGTGTATCAAGTGGTGGTGTAGAGTCCAAGGAAAGCTGCAGACTTTAATGGGATGGGGGGGGAGCGCCAACCCAGATTACAA